TGATATTTCACTTTAATTTATTTGTTGTTACCTAATGATACATAAATATAAAGTTCGGGTGGGGTCAGGTCAGTTTATTTCTCAAAATGTTGCTCTTTGGTGTCGGATTATCTTTCACTGTTTTCTACAGACACGGCGTATCTCATTCTGCTGCGAGTGCAACACTGTGATTAATGCACAAGAAAGATCCTCACTGATTCATCCACCAACCATGTTTTTACTGTGCTTTTGTGTTGCACAGGGAACAGGGGAAATGTTTAAAGGGAACTTCTGGACAGGTTGGAGACGTCATCTTTCTGGTGTTTGCCACTAGAGGTCGACTCTCTGAGGCAAAGCAGGAGCAGATACATGAAGTTGCCCAGTGGACCCTGAATGCTGCCACCCTGTGTTGAACATTTGTGATTTCAAGCCTTTATTCAGTGGCTTAAATGTTGTGACCAGAGAAACTCATCACATCGTCTGCGATCATTCTCACATGATTACAGCACTGAGGGTATCAGTAGTCAATCCTCCTTGTATTTACTTTGTCTGTCCTCCCCTCAGGCCCTTTATAATGCAAACGGAGCTCTATCCGTGGAGGAGTGAAACCGTCAAACATGAAGGAAAATCATGAGAACAGGAAGATTTTTCTCATGTTGAATATCGAGAATGAAGCCAGGTTTTGAAAACTGGCTATAAAACATGTCTTGTATGAATTAATAAGTGGAATCAGTGTCAGCACGTAAACACGATGTGTCCACCAGTATTAGGACTGATTGAAGACATTGTGCACAAATCTGTCCCACACAAACATGGAAGGATGGAACACTGGGTGATTGGACCAGGAGGGATTTACTTATTCTCAAGATACTAAAATCTACATATTTCTTATACAGAAAAATATCTTCCTCGGACTTAGTTTGACTTTATTCTCAACATGTTGACTGTATTCATGAAATGTAAAACAAGAAAATCTTCCTCTGACCTAGTTTTACTTTATCCTCCACATTTTTTTAAATTTATTCTCAACATTTCCTCTTAAATCTCTTTATTTCAAAATTAAAAACATCATCTTCCTCTTTGCATATTATTGTTTTTTTTCTATATTTGACCCTAATGCTCTTCCGTACCTCTCCGTTCTTTACGTAGCTTTACGCCAATCGTCAACATCCGGCCTTCCCGCATACTCTTGTTGCGTAAGTGATCCGTGGACACAGAGACATCATGGCGGACGTGCTGGATCTTCACGAAGCGGGAGGAGAGGACTTTCCTATGGATGAGGATGGTGATGGTACACATTTCATTCACACTCGTCAGCGACACATTCCCCGAAGCTTCGGTGTTTAAAAAAAAAAAAAAAAAACGTTGCGTGAATATCGAAATCCACGCGTGAAAGGTCGCAGCGACGAACGCAGGCGGTAGGCCTGAAACATGCTAACAAGCTAACTCCAAGCTAACAACGCACTGAAGACTCATTCAAACGCTTTTACGAGGCGGCTCCGTCGTAGTTGTTGCCTCCGGTCACTTTTATCGAGGTTTCTACGCTTCATCGGTTTATTTCTCTGTTTGAAACGTGTCACTCGGCCTCACACTCTATTTCACTTTAGCACGAAGATGCAACCTGAGGAACTTCGGGTGTTATTAGCCGCCGCTAGCATGCTAGTGGAACGAAGCTAATGGCTACCCTGAAGTTACCCTCGGTAAACTGCACACAACATCAGAAATACAGTTTCCACACACATGCATTTAGTGGTTTTAATGTTGTCGTGGTGTTACACATTTCACAGCTTTTTAAAAGCATCTTGTTCTGCATTGTTTTGACTTGCTCCCTCCTCCCTCCGCAGAAAGCATCCACAAGCTGAAGGAGAAAGCCAAGAAGAGGAAAGGACGAGGCTTCGGTTCAGGTGAGTTGGTTTGTGCTGCTGAATACAAACAGAGTTATAAACGGTATCTTTAGTTAAGCCAGCTGTGTTAACCGTTTCCACGTGTTACTGTTTACAGAGGAAGGAGCCAGGTCCAGAATCAAAGAGGACTATGATACCGTGGAACAGGATGGGGATGAGCCGGGTCCTCAGAGATGTAAGTGCTGCTGTTCATATTGCAAATGTAATGTGAGCTAATCGTATGAAGTCCAAGCAACAGTCTTCACTAACTTTTCTGTTAATTAGTAGCAAGTATACACAATGAAATCGGTTAATTAGGACCAGGCAGACATATAACTGTCTGCTGAGTGTGTCCATGGTTTAATCTTTGTTTCCTATCTGGGTATCTGAAATGTTCACGGTCTTTTTTACACCCTCAGTTATACATTTGTTGATAGTTCTCACTGTGTTGTAATCGATATCCTTCATTGGCAGTGGTTATTTAATAGGCAGGGGCATTTAGTATGGATTTAAGACTCCACAGAAAGAGAGCAGTTGAGTAAGAAGGGTATTTTTCATTTCATTAGTCTGCTGTGAACATAGTATGTTGGTTTTGAGATTATTCTTATAATAGCGTTTGATGAAGTCACTCTTAAGTTCTGTGATGCAGATAAACAAGGCTTCTTATTGGTCTGACCAGTGTTTACATGTACATTCTACTCACAATGAGTATTTAAGTATACTTAATACAATCTGGTCTATGTATTACCTTTATTGGATATCCAGTGCTCAGACTCCATGAATCTAGTGATGACAACTGTACTTATTAGGTCCCTGATGAATGTGCTTGTCTTTATCTTGTTGCAGCTGTGGAGGGATGGATCCTGTTTGTGACAGGTGTACACGAAGAGGCCACTGAGGAAGACATCCATGACAAATTTTCCGAGTTTGGAGAAATCAAGAATCTGCACCTCAACCTTGACCGCAGGACAGGCTACCTCAAGGTGAGGCATAGACATATTTGTCATGTTTGTGAGTTATTCATTCGACCACTGCTGACCTTTTACTGATTCTCTTATAGTGGGTTCGTTTGTTTTCTGGTGTAAAGTGAGATTTGTTTTAGATCTATTTTTTTTTGCAAACAACTAAATCTAGTCACCTGGGATGCTACCTTGTTCGTCTGTTAATTAAGTGCACAGATCAGAAAAGCCAAATACAGTAAGAAATGAATGGAAACTGAAGAAATGTGTGAGTTTTCTGGAAAAGGTTTGTGTCTGGTTTTGTCAGAAGTACGCTGCAACATTTGGCAGTACAACTAATTTGACCGTTTTACCATCTAATGAGGCAAAGGTCTTTTTATTTTTAGGTTTGGCTGGAAATACACTGAGAAGAGTTCCAAATACCTTGTTGACTCATCCAGAACATAGAACAACAGCCCTAGTTTCTCTGATTCAGCCCAGTGTTTAAATGATCAATTCTTTCCAAAGGAAAAAGAGTTAGAGCAGTATCTAAATGTCTATCTTTAAAATAAAAGATTTTTTAAATGTTCTCCCTAATGTAAGGAGTCATTTGTTGCATGAACAAACCCAGACACTGTTTTATACAGTTTGCTTTATCGAAACGAGTATCAAAACCTTGCTAACAGATATAATTGTGAATGACTGTTGGACAAAGCTTACTGGAAAAGATGCTTGAAAGCTCACACACTGGCTTCACTATTTTTTTGCTGTCCAGTTTATGTCAACTGTCTTCTAAACCACAAGATGGCAGCATTGTGTTGAGTGTGAAGTAAAAATAAAGCCTCTTTGGCCTGAAACTTTTTGTAGAGTCATTTCAGTAAATTATAGAGAATATAAATTTCAAGTTTGCCTGGTAATCACTGTTTTCAGCGGGGCAGTCACACCAGTTAGCCTCAGGAATGTTATTTGATAGAAATCTTTAACCGTGTTTCTATGTCAGTTGTGTTGTTTATTGTAAAATATTACCTGATTCCAAAGTGTCTTGCTGTAACTCACATAATGTCCAAATAACTTGTCTCCAGGGGTACGCACTGGTTGAGTATGAGACTTACAAAGAGGCCCAGGCAGCCATGGAAGGGCTCAACGCTCAAGACATGATGGGCCAACCTATCAGTGTCGACTGGGGATTCGTCAGAGGGCCCCCGAAGAATAAGAGGAGGTGAGGGTGGTTTGCAATAATTTGTCTTTGCCTGCTGTGGCAGTAAGGTGCTGGTAAAAGGAGTGTTTTCAACGCGTTTGAAAAGATTAATGGTGTATTAATGCATTTATCTAAATGTATTCATATTATTTCCTTTACTTTCTAAATCAAAGTTAAACAAAATGTGATTGTTCACTGAACTAAACTAGTATTTTCTTTTTTTCAACCCAGATTTTTATTTATATTCTAATGCAAAAAGAAAAGGGTTGCATGTGCAGGAGTATAATGGAAATACTGTTCAGTGCTCCATAGCTTGGCTGCAGCCATTTCTGTGTGATGGTTCTCTTGCTTGCGGCGAAGTTTGTTTATCATTAGCCATAAGTTTGTCTGAGTAAACAAATCCCATTCCAGAAACAACTAAACTGCATTTTTTCATATTTAAAAAAAAAAAAAACTTTTTTCCCCCCCAGGACTGGTGGACGGAGACGCAGCAGAAGTCCAGACAGGAGGCGGCGTTGAGTTTGGCAGGTGTCGTCGGCCGAAGAGGGCGTCTGCTGTCACTCTGACAGGCGGTTTATAATCTGCTCATCTTCTCATACGATGCTAGTTGTCAGAATTTTTGTACGATATTTACAGTAACATTTGCGATTTCCAACACTTTTGAGGCAAGGACTTGCTCTTCAGAGATGAATAAACTGTCTGATGGCATCATTTGCATTTCATTGTATTGTAAATCCATTCAGTTCCATAACTGTTTTTACTTTCGACGACCAGCTCGTCGGTTAACGCGTCTGTGGGTTTTTCATGACTCGCTCAAGATCTTTCAGTTTGCCTAATTGTGACGTGCATTTTTATTCTGCTTGGGGGTGTTTTTGTTTTATATCACTTTGAGAAAATTAAAGTTGTTAAAAATAAAAAATAAAAAAAACAAAACTTGTGTCCTGGTGTTATTTGTCCTGTTTAAGCCCAGCTGATGACGTAGGGGTTTACGTCATCCCAGATGACCTCACCCGGGTTGGCGGTGACGCCCCGGCTCTTCGCTGAACTCTGGAGCACCTGTCACTCCGCACCGTGCACCACTCACAGGCTCCGCGGACATCGAACCCCCTCCTGGCCCCCGATTCTCCGGCAGCCAATTGGCAACTGAACGCTTCGCCACTCGCTCGCCTCCATTCGGTGCCTGCGCCGATCGGCGAGCGTCACTCAAAGCCGCGGAGCGCGCCCATTGGCTGCGAGGAGGGTCACTCACGCGGGCTCTCCCCGCCGATTGGCCCGCCGCAGCTCATGGGGGGGGGGGCGGGTACGAACCCCGTCGCTTGACGTTGTTGTTGTAACTGCTGGAGAAATTACTTTTGTCGGCGCTGGTCCGGTTCGGGATTTTACTTCTCGTCTCCGCGCACGAAGATGCTAAAAAGTTAGGAGTTGTCGCCGCGGGAGACGTTCGTCGTTGTTCACGAGGCGGCCCTCGCCGGGAGAACTTCATGGGACGACGGGAACAACCTCTGCGAGGCCGCTCGGGGTAAGAAGAAGTGCACGGGAGACCGTGGGCTACTAGCCCGTACGTTAGCTAGCGTTAGCCGCTGATTAGCCTGGCTGGAGGTAGCCCCACTTGCTAGGAACGGGATTTTGTGGACTCGCCGAAAAACAAACCGCACAACACCCGGAAGGAGGATGCGCACACGCATGTAACGCAGGTGATGAAACGCAGGAGTGAATGGCGGCTTGTTGTTGTTGGGGGGGGTAAAATAAACTAGTTGTGTTGTGAGTGAGCGGTGCACGGACCCCCATGCGTTTCTACGCCTCAGATGCGTTTATGTAAGCATGTGTATTGTCCGCTGATATTTGTGTTGCAGGGAGTAGTCGCAGCCGTGGTAGCCGGTTCGGGGGTCAGCATTTGTGGGGAGGGGGGGAGACACGTCCAGCAGCTCGGGGGGGTGTGGGGGAGCAGGTCGGTGAGCTGGGTCGGTGGCTGAACGTTAGCTTGGAGCTGTCAGCTGTGCTGCAGTTACCAACCACGTTTAAAGTTGTGCATTTAAAGAAGAGATGCGTGTTCTTCTTCTCTGTCTCTCCCTCTGTAATCACAGTCAGTTTATTTTGTGTGTGTGTGTGTGTGTGTGTGCATTCACATCATCCAGTTCCCTCACGGCTGACAGTCACGATCCAGATGATCGGAGCTGGGTTTGCACTGAAGGTTCATGTGTGATGTAACATTTTCCTTAAAGCAGCAGCCCAGTGTTCCCAGTCCCTCGTGTGTGTGTGTGTGTGTGTGTGTGTGTGTGTGTTTTCTAACTCCTCCAAACCCAAAGCGACTGGTCTCATTAAGACATCGTGAAGTGATGGAGTGACTCAAGGCTTTTCTGCCCAAACCTCGCAGCCAAACATGTGTGACTGCTCCTTGAGCTGGCTTTGTGCATGGGTGCAGGTTTTCAAACCCGGGACCGGGGTCATTTTGTCGTCATTTGATGGGAGAGGGCCGGGGTAGCCTTACACGTTTGCCTTGAATTATTCAGGTCTTGTATTTGTGGGCCCCTTTGTTTGCTCGAACACCAGGACAGACAGTCAACATGAAAAGTAGGACATAGGTACAGGTTGTCGAGTTTGGCCTGGAGGGACTGTTGATGTTGTTCACACGCTGTTGGAAACGCATGCAGCAGACAGCAGGAACCTCGTGTTGCAAGAAAACTTGGTACTGTGTATTAGGAATAACGAATCCTGGACTCCGGCTTGTACTCATTCATTCCTGTGACTGCAGCTCGATGTCTGAAATGCAGGCCTGACTGTTGCAGAGAAGACTTTTGATCAGCACAACTGTGGGAAGTTGGAGCAAACTACCACTCTGATGCCACTAAATATGAGCGATAGATTGGATGTTTGATCCATCGCTCACTTGGCTCATGCGTGACTGTGCCCCCTCTAGATGATGAATCCATTTCAAGTTGCCTGTCGGTTCTGGGATCCACTGTGCAGTCAGGCTAGAAGATGAAAAAGATCTTGATACCCGGCTGCGTGGTCTCTTGTGAGGGTGTGTGAGGTTGTGCTGTCAGGCGTCATTATGCGAGTCCTCAACACTTCAAGGAACATATTGATGCTCGCGGCCGCACAGAGAGCACCTCGGGCAAATATTTTAAGTAGAGGAGGGTGTAGCATCCTTCCTAATGCAGTTATGATTCAAAACTGGCAGGGTGTTCACGGAAAAAATATCAGGAGATGAAAATGATTTTTCCACCACGAAATCTACAAAAAACATGGGTCAGCAACTTTTTAAGCAATCAGATATTAGAAGCCAGTTTGTGAATGCTTGAACGGTTCTGTCGGTCATTGCACTAAACAGCACAAGATAAATCAATTCATGACCAGCTTTGAATGACACCGAGCGAGGCAGGATGCTTTTAAAGGTATGTGTTGACTCTCCAAGTTATTGAACTTTGATTTAGTTTGTTGATTCAAATGAAAATCTCTGGTTTGACATTTTACACTGGTCTCGGTTGAAAATGATTTAGATGAGATGACATAGCTGTGAGAACAATAAGGTATTTTCATTGTGTTTGAATTATCTGAGTAGTGAGAGGGACGTCAGGAGAACGGCTCAATAACACGTGGTATGATGGCAGCAAGTGGTTATACATATAGACAGGTAGAAATGGGTAGTGAGAACCCGGTTTCCTGAATCATTGTATTCCTTTAAGCTGATCAATTCCTCCTGATGATGCTGGAAACAAGAACCAGCAATTTCACAAGGAAGTTCTTGTTGTAATGTCTGTAAACTGGTAAACACCGGCACTAAAAATACTAATAATCTTTATTTGTATGCTGAATCCGATTCTAGGAATGCCATGCATTGTGCCCTCCACTGCAGTTGCTTCCCAGCTAAACAGAATTTCTGTTGCCAGCAGTAAATTTCCTGTTTAATATTAACATTAGCAGATTTCTTCTTTTACTGAGAAAATCGAAATGAACACAGAATTGTTTCTTCACTATGTTCAGACTTAATAAAACTGTTGCATTGATGCAGAAAAACCTGCGTAGGTCTACTCCCCCCCCCCGACCATTTCAATGGTATTCCCACCGCCTGCCAAAGTACTGGTACCGTTACAGCCCTCGTCAGTGTTGTGCAGTCACATGTACACCCTGTGAAAAAAGGGTTTGTCATAGATCTGTCATCCTGAAGTTGCAAGACCTGATGGTAATGTGTTTGTTGGCAAATTGTTTTGCTGTGGCGCATAGCAGAGTCGTTCAAGAACACAATGGAGGGTAGAGCAGCTATAAACTAATTTGTGCCTCAGTTTAGAATTTCCTAAAGCTTGCAGTTGGTTTATCTTTTCAGTGGGAAGTATTTAGTCTGGAATATTACTTCTTCATTTTAAAGGTTTTGAGTTACTATCTTAACTATCTTTCATATCCTTAATATCTTTAACATGGATCGCAACTATTTTTGTGCTGCACGGCTGCGGCTGTTTAGACTGCCTCAGTGGATATAGTGTTTCATAGGGTAACCATGCTGCTTCAGCAACACAGAAGGTATGAAATTTTAAATTCATCTCTTTCTGGGCTCCCCCAAACAGCTGTTAGTGTGTGTTTGTGTGTGTGTGTGCGTGCTTCAGGGATCCAGTATCACTTTCAGAGCTGGGCTCATTTGGCCACGGAGGTATTCCCATAGGATGTCTGAAACACGGTCAGATTAATAAGTAAGGAGATGCGTGCTTGTTCAGGTTAGTAGGACAAACACATGACATTTGCGTGAAGTGAACATGCTCCATTTAATTTATTAGTGTATTTGCTTAACCTAGAAGTGGCACGAAAGCAGGAAGTACTCGTAGCACTTACCACCTCGCTAATTGTCAACATGAATACAGTGACACGATAAAAAGCACCTCTATACAGTCCTGCGTTTGTGCTCTAATCTCTAAACTGGTCATAAAGACGGGAAGAGATGTGATACGAAAGTGAAAACTACCTTGCCACAGCGAGATGGGGATCAATAGGTGGCTTGTCACCAAGAGGCCACTGTGTCCAGACAGCGACTCATAAAACTCTTTGCAGACCCACCCTCCTGCTCCACTAGGCTGGTTGCCTGCCAGTCTTGTGACACAGCAACCAGCCACTGCCCAGGATTGTTTGTGTCAGGGTGGAGAGACGGTGAACTACCACATCTACCTGGGTGTCAGCAGCTGCGTGACTTTGAACAGCTCGCTGTGCAGAGTCGACCCGCACAGAATGCTTTGGGATTAGGTTTAGATATTCCCCCACAGTTGTTCTACAATACAAGTGGCGGTAAAGTTGGTTGGAATGGTAATATGAGAAAAGATATAGCCTTATGAACGGTGCAGACATTATACCACTCGGCACAGGGCGCCACTCCTACAAGGGACGCTATGGAAATGAGAGCTGCTGTTTCAGTTGCTGTATCAGTTACTTTATGGTCGTCACCTTTTCTTCCTCTACGTACAGTACAGGGCGGGGAATTAATGATTATACACTGTACAAGCCAAAGCCTCACAGTCTTATCTGCCCTGTCACAAAGTTTATTACCTGATTTTACAATGATATGATAACATAAGTGAAAACACCTACAGCAAATAAATTAGACTGTAAACACAGGCAGGTTGGTCTGTTTTGGCCTATGTTGTGAATATGAACACTTTCTCTCTTGTGTTGAAATCATTTTCTTGTGTTTGATCGATGCACCTGCTATAGGAAATGTGTGATTTGCCCTGAAATGTATTTAAAAGTCAAAGTATTGTAGTGTAGATTTGTGTTAATATTTCTGATGATGTGATGAAATGTTATGCCATGAGATAATCATTGATATATTCAACACAAAGACATTCAGTTTATTACAATGATTATATAATAATAGCTTTATTTATGTTGCACTTATCTAAACAAGGTTACAAAGTGCTTCACAAAATACATGGTCAAATTTATTTTTTAAATAAAGGTTTAAGAGAACCAAACATTTTTTACATGCAAGCTTCATATTCGTAAGTCTTTCTTATTATTAACAAATCTAAACTATTATGACCTGAAAGTGTAGAAAAACAATTGGTGGCTGCTGTTATGTCTATGTTTTATAGCAGGTATGAATGATGAAATGTAGATTGTACTTTAACATGAGGACAGAATAGTATTTTCCCGCATAGACTAGAAGCCATCAGTCGTTCCCGCCCTGCCCTGTTGATCCAGGACAGCAGGCGTAATCCCACACACAGCTCTGATGAGGAGCCTGTCGCCCAGGATGACATCACACGGGGAGTGACGTGAAGTCGCCCTGCTGTGTACAGGGCTCGGCCTGCAGCACGTGGGGATTCGCATGAGCATTAGTGCTGCCCGCCTGCAGAGCATGGCGCTTGTTTAGCCACTGGCTTTATAGCTGGGCTTAGTTGACTTATCAGGAGTTGATCTTGAGCATTCAACGAAGTCGCAGATCCATTTTATTTTCAATATTAAAACCTCTGAGAAGCTCTGCTCTCTTTTTGCAGGAGATATTCAAATTAAAGCAGAAGTCATGTCACCTTCCAAATGTGGGTTATGTAATATTAGGCACATTATTTGTACACTAAGCAAACAGGGTATTTTGGCATCAGTGCTGATTCTGAGACTTGTTGTCGGTGTACAGTTTAATGTTTAAATACGCCCAAGAACAGAGTGAAAGGTAAAGTTTAGCAGCTTTATAAATGTCCACTGTTTTTAATCT